CTACCCTTGCTTTTTATATAAGGTGGCATGATTGACAGCACACAAATTGTAAGGTTTATGCTCACTTGTAAACCAATTTTAACTGCTTCGAAGATTTTCGTTCCTATGCCCTCTCCCCTATGGGGATAATCATACTACATATTTAGTCAACCTTATAATTGCAAATACTTTTCTGTCCCCTTTCCCATTGCAATTTCAAATAAAGGATAAAACAAAATAGAACTGTTGATTTAACAAATCCATGATCCAGTACATACCCTTGCGACAGCTGAGTGTCAAACAAGAACTTCAGTATTTTTGCTCGTCCCTCACTCAATTTTTCCCCGATAGATGCCAGCCTCGTTTCCTGCTACCACAAAAATATGTCATCTTTCATTGTCTATAATTTTCCATACTTTAGTAATTCTGGAACGTTGGAATACTCACCTTTGCCAATAAAGCAACGATCTTCGTTTGACACTTGTTCATCACACTGCTATCCATCTGTACATAAAACTATAATTTATACTTTACTTTTCTAATGTTAGAAATACCTTGGCACAAACCGATGCATACCTTTATTCTTTTACCTTGCCTTCTGTTTTGTTTGTCTTCTCCCACAGGCTTCTCCGTATTGTCCATCCTTAGTCTCTTTCTACTCCTCCATTTTGTAATTTTCGATGCACTCTTTTCACCATTACAGTACTATTCGTAGTGACTCTATCATTTTCACTTCTGCTTTTGGACCTAACATCTGGTGTTGTAGGACTAAATTTATGTAACTCACTCCCTCTTTTAACATTACCGCGCCAATCGTCCTTCTGCCCACCCTCCACACCAACTGCCCGGTTTGTTTTGCACACCCTTCCACTTTCATACGTGCTCCTCAGCCTTTTAAAACGACATTCAATCATTGCATCCATTCTACCAATACTATCCTTCACATCTTTATTACCACATTCAATTTCAATCAGTCTTCTATCAATGTCTTCTCTACAGTTTATGTTATTGTAAAACTGCACATTGCTTTGTCACTACAAGCCTTCAATTTTGTACTACTAGTAACGTCACAAAATGCAGATTGCAATTTCAACAACAATTCACACGAAAGGATTTTACATTACCTGTTCCCCCTCAAATATGTGATTCCTTCTCAATATTCGCACGCTTTCATTAATCTCGTACCTTTCCCAAAATCTTAGCATCGGCCCTCTCGGCTGGAACTTGAGAAACTCGTCCTCACCCTCGATATAGAATCGTTCCAGATAGTAAATCTGCACGGACAAAAATGCCTACCATCATTTACGGGTCTTTTCTATCAAAGTTTAATTTCATTATTCCAACAATTCCTATCTCTAATACAAAATGGTGCGTCTTTTTTATACCATCAAGAAAAGTGCACATCCCTCTATTCCGTTGCCGTCTCTATCACGGATGCTCTTCACCAAATTGTCAAGTATGAATTTCGACCAATTCAAATTTTTCATATTCTCCTCTGTAGCCACTACAGCCACCAGAGCCCGGCTCACTGTGTCATCCAAACTTGGTGCTAACAACCTACCAACAACAAACAGTACGAACTTCACTTTGAATTCTAAGCCTTTGTTATGCAAATTACATATACTGTGTTTCAATTCCTCCACTACAATTTCACCGCTATTTATTCTGATATTCAATTCTCTTTCCAACTCTGTATCCATCTCTTGCCTTCGCTTTTCGCTTTCAATATCTTTCCCACGGCTGCTCAAGCCAAGTACACATTCCACATCCTCGGCTGTCACCTGTAGACAGTACCCATGAACGTTCAGTGTCCTCCGATCTACATCAAAGTTATCCACCTGCCACTTCAACATCTCTTCGTCAACCTCTACTCCCTTCACATTCAAAGTTGACCCGAATCCAAACTCTCTAACAGCCTGCTGCTGCTCATCCGAGATCCAATCCACCATATTCTTCACGGAATGAGTTGAGTGGCTTACCATTGTTTCCGCCGTCCGACGAATGGCCTTCCTTTCACTGCTGCAACTTTTATAATTCGAAGGTGTTCCACTCTCATGCATCAGCGATACTACCATTGTTTCCGCCGTCCGACGAATGGCCTTCCTTTCACTGCTGCAACTTTTAAAATTCGAAGGTGTTCCACTCTCATGCATCGGCGATACTACATTTTCGCTTTCTCCTTCACTGTCCCACTGCATATCCGAAGCATCTATTTCCGCCGCCAGCTCCATAACAAATCCCTATCTTCTGCTATTCCTCCTGCTCCGGTTTTGGCGCTTCTTCCTTTCTAATACGCCTACACTCTTTAGCTTATCCAGTAAGCTTCGCGCCTTTTTTCCCTGCCGTACTTTCGCGTACAAACCCTCACTTTCCCGGTTGCTTAATTTCGGCCCCTCCACATTTCACATGCGCGGCTGGAGTCCCCTTCAACGCCCAATAGATCTTCCGGTTGCACGTCACAAAAGCCCTTTCCACGTGCCCGCCCAACACACTTCCCCTAGCGTTTGTGGCCCAAAATGCTTGAATGTCTTTTCCCTTAACTTTCCACACCTCTGTTTTGACATGTAAACATACCGCAGCAACATCCGTGGTTATAACTTTTTCATTTGACCCAATCTACATGCATACCAGCACACGGCTCGTCACCAGTTGTATTAACAATCAAGTCAGTGAATGCACTCGTTGCAGCATTTCCAACCAATATTGTTAAATTTGGACCAAGTAGCAACTCGACTAAGCTCTGAATTAGGGATTAACTAATTGGATCAATCGGATCGTTCTAAAATATCCACTAATATCAGCTAGGGATGGCAACGGGGCGGGGTTGGGGCGGGGGACCTCTCCCCCGCCCCCCGCCCCGTTGCCTATTAGTTCCCCCCGTCCCCCGCCCCGTCCCCCGCCTCCCGCTCCCCCCGCCCCGCCTTGCCCCGCTTCCCCCGCGGGTGCCCCCGCGGGGTTAATAAAATTTTATATTGAGAATAACGTAGATTCCCAAATCTTCATGATCATTACCCCAAACACATGAATAAATTGAGAATTTTGGGTCAAGGAGCTTTTCCAATCGGAAATGGTAGTTCTGCTCATAGGATTTTGCATCCCAGAGTTCGTGTTGAAGCTAACAACATTTTGTCCAAGAATCAAATTTGTGACTTTGATCAAATATTTTCATGATAGTATCCAGTGCGAATTCCTAGTTTTGAAGCTGCTTTAAGAGCTCATAGCAAACTCCAAAGTTCCTGGAAATATGAGGCTGGCCCTCGAGTGAGAAGCCAATCAGAGGCGAATCAATTGATGAATATGCTTTGCAAGTATGTGGTTTTGGTCCTGCTTTAACTCACTAATTTTGAAAGGATGATGCAATTTAAGATTACTGGACTGTAGTAAAAGAACCTAGAACCCACCTAGAACATTTACAATGCGGTAATGATCGTACAATCCTGTAACAAAAGATCATAGTGTATTAGGCACAAGTAGCTATGTATCATATACCAAGCAGATTGATAAGGTTGTGGGTAATCAATTCTTTTCTGCTCAACTACTGCTTTGCTTGGCTTATATATAATTATATATATATATATATATATATATTTTTTTTTTCTTTTTTGTTTTGCGGGTGGCGGGGCGGGGGATGGGGCGGGGGTATACTCCCCCGCCCCCCGCCCCGTTTCTAAGCGGGGGGAAAAAATTCCCCCCCGCCCCCGCCCCACCCCCCGCCCCAACCCCCGCCCCGAGAGCCCCCCGCGGGGCGGGTGCCCGCGGGCACCCGCCCCCATTGCCATCCCTAATATCAGCATGATGTCATAATTATTTTATATTTTTATAAGTTTTTAAAAAATGTTGAAATTAAATTCTTTGTTATATTTTGACAAGCTATACAAAGTGTTTCAAAAATATTAGGCACGTAATCAAATATAACCTAAAAATTATATATCAAATTCTAAATTCATGTTTAAAATATATGCATACTTCAAAACTCTTGAAAACTAAATTAAAACAAGTTATATCGAATTCGAGATCATTCTGTTGCAAATATGACTTTCTAATGTAAGTTGGAATCACTAATGATAAATTGATAAGATGATAGGGATGAAAACTTTTTGATTTAAAAATCATTTAGAAATGTGAATAATTTTAGTGTTTACACTAAGTGAGTGATATTTTTGTATTCATTTAAATAAATAAAAATTTTACAACTTAGGTAACTTAAATTATGTTTAGGAAAAATAAGAAAGAAAAGTTTGAGAACTGGATAAAGCAGTCGGACAAGGTTATGGGTTTGGCTAATTTGTTAAGGTTTTGACTTGTTTTTGACTAAAGCGATTTTATGCTACTAACCAAAGCAAGAAGAAGATCGATTCACGGTTGGACAGTTCTGATTGACCAGTCTGGTCTAGTTCTAACAACACTACTTCCAACTGGAGCCTTAGGCATGGTTTGTTTTGAGGGAATGGGGGAAAAAGAAAGGAAAAGAAATGGAGGGGGTAAGGTTTCTTATATTTGGATTGGTTTTCAAGGAGGGAAAGGAAAGGATTGAAAGGGAAAGGGATTAAGTTTACTTATTTGTCAGCTTGCTTTCTATCCAACAAATGTAGTGCGCATTAAGTACCAGTAGAATTACCGAATTACAAAATTCAAATTATCAAACTTTTTTCAAATTGGCCATGTAACTCGATACGCAACAGATATGCTCATACACTTTAACATTAGGTTTTTATAGAAATTTTTTTTATTAATATGGAATATTCTTAATTACCACGGCTAGCCCCATCATGCCTAGTCCTATGGTTGCATTTGTACCATAAAAGAATGAAAATCAAATTTGTTTCCTTTCCAGTGATTAGGTTTATATTCTTCTAAAACTGTTCGTTTGGACTTTTTATCCGAAGTGGGCAGTTGCAAAACTTTTTCTCCAATTACACAAGGCATATTTGCTAAGATGGGTTGGGTGTTGCGAGGGAAAGGCACATTTGCCAATTACACAAGGCACATTTGCAAAATTCCTAATTCTTTTTTCTTCCTACTTTTTTTTTTCAAACGAAAACCATTATACTTCATTTAAATCCAAATTACAACTGAGTTTCATCATTACATTGATCATCCTTGCATCTAGCTATAATGGCTAAATCATAAGCTCTAGCTATGTCGCTCCTATCTACATTAACAATAATAACCTGAGTGAAAACATGAGACGGTACTAAAATATGACCAAGTACTGGTCTTAACTTCCAGGGGAGAATTCCTGTCTTCCTGAGGTTCTGCAGATACTTCAAAAGGCCAGTACACTCTGTTTTAAAGAGTGGCATAATCTCCTGGCACAATTCATTGGCTTCCAAGCATGCTGTTGCCACCTTCTGCATAGACGATTCCACGTAGACTCTGTCAGCAAGTGTGCAACAATCTATTCCTCCAGGTTGCTGTAATATATATCCTGCTCACCCCTTCCTGGTTGCTTTATCAAAGGAGATTCCACATAGACTCTATCCTGTCACACCTTCTTGACAAATTCATACTCTATATAGTTTCCTCTGCCTTGGCACATCTCAGACATATAAGTGTAACCGAGCATCCTCTAATAAATCATGCCCCGTTCGTTGGACAAGCATTTTGAAGTAGTCTCAATATAAAATAGTTGTAGCCCGGCAGCAACTTTTCAGGTGCCACATTACTTTCGAGACCCGCTGTTGGTGTTCACGAGATTGATCCAGTGAGGAAGCCTGAGCTTCCTCTCAAGTTCCGAAAACTCCAGGCAAAGTGATACCCAGTTTTAACTGAATGGCTTCCATGCTTTTTGAAATCCCAGCTGTAGCAGCCACCTTAAGAGGAAATAGGACTCTGGACTGATAAAATCTTGTTTGCTACTACATTGGAAGGCATGTCTAGGAAACATTAGCTACATTTTGGTTCGAAGATTTGGAAATTTTTTATATCAAATGCATACTAGTCGACTGCATCTTCTGGTCTGCTTGGGGCAAAGATGGCAGTTTATAATGCGGACGCCTATGCCAGCCTGATTTCAACTGCTAAGCCCAACTACAATTTGTCAGAGGTGCTAATGCAAGACTTGAGAGCCATCTGTATCTAATTTCTTGTGTAAAACTTGAGTGTCAAACAAATGTTCTTTCAGCTTGTGAATCCCCGTGTTCACTATTGTTAGGAGAAAAAAATCAGATACAGAAAAAGAACCCAACAGCCCATGTTGAACACAGAGAAACTGGTTAACTACTTACTGATGAAACAAGAACCAAAGACAAAGGAGAAAGAATGATCCTCCAATGAAAGGATATTCACAGTTTCCCTGCACTCAGAATCTTTTAAAAGCAAAACTGGAAAACTAAAACCAGTAGAACTTTTTTATTTTTTTTTAACACTTGCTTCAACAACATAGAGTTCTGTGCTACAGATAATTGATTTCAAGTGTATAGACAGACATTCACAGAGAGGAGAAAATTGGAATACCGGGTAAGGTTGCTCCAGCATCTACAATAAAAATATTGCCTGATATATACTCAGAAGAGTCAAGGATTAAATATCGAATAAGTGATGTCAATGCTGGATCTATGGTGCCAAATGTTCCTAAAGGGACAGTTTTAAGAGTAACATTCTTCAACCAGTCTTTTTCCATGAGTCCCTCAGTAATCTCAGATTTGAAAATTCCAGGTGCGATTGAGTTCACTCTTATTTTGTGCTTCCCCAGCTCCATTGCCATAACCTATTTATGATTTGAACAAGCGGCAAAAGAAAAGGATAAATAAAACACAAAAAATCTTTGGTTCATAAAGGGAGTGAAAGTCAGAAATCTGAAGTAGTAATCCAGCAAAAATAAATGACAAAACTCAGATAATATGATAAAGGGCTTGAACATATCAACACCAAACGCATCATAAATCACTAACTCCAGGAATGAGAAAAGAATTCAACTAGAATTTGAGGATCTAAAACAGAATATGTAACAGCCCTTTCCAAGTATATTCAACTATTACGCAGCAAGATTGACAGTTACCACATTTCTGCCTGTCTAACTTAATACCAACAATGGCACTAGCGGCCATCTACTAAAACCTTGTACAAAAGGTCAAGTTGGAAATCTTATTGCCTGGCTTAGAACTTAAGATAATAATATTAGTTTCTTCTAGTTTCATTGAAAAAAATATACCTCTTACTAAAATTTTTGGCTATTTAGATCCATGCTGAGTGCTATAAACCAGTTTAATTTTACTATCAAACTACCGGACGTAACAAAACTCTGAACAACTTAATGCTGTATGATATCAGGAGCATATAGGACTTTCTTCAAAGCACTTATTCAGCAAGAGGGCACATATTCAGTATGATGTACAGCTACAATGCTGTTGCATGTATCTTCAGCTTATCTCAATTTCAGATGTTTCAATGAATACCATTAGGATGTACAAGATCTTTATTTTCAGAAACAAGGTTCCATACACACAGCCAGACAAGTGCAACACTTAAAGGATCAGGATGCAGGTAAATCAAGTAACTTTAGTACACAGATCTTTTTTATTGGAATTTAACATGAGATATCTTTTTTACTACCCTTACATTTAACACTTATTTGAACTCCAGACAACAAGAAACTTAAGTTTCGTTGGTTAACAGAAGCACTTCGGCATATGACTCAGAACTTGATCTTATTGCATATGGATATTTAAGAGCACAGTCTATCATGTTTACTAATTTAATTACAGGCCTCACGCCAGATACAACCCAAGATAATAGCCACCTGAGCTTCATTTGTATATGAAGCTGACACGGTCCCATTAATATTTTTTTATTATATCCCTCATATGCACACAAATAGAAAGCATGCTGTGCAGATCTGATAGAATCTGTGAGATTCGTGATGGCAATCCAAGAGCAATCAACTACTTATATCTAAATTCAAGCTCATGGCAAGTCAAATACTGGTATTTTATCCATCAGAGATTAAACTTAGGAACGGTCAAGGGTGAGACCTTTGTCATTGTGTTAATGGCAGCCTTTGCTGACGCATATGCTAGAGCTCCAGGCAACTGTCCACGATCAAGACCGGTAATGGAGGATATATTGATGACACATCCCCCTTGTTTAGCATCACGCATGTGAATGCAGACATACTTTGACACCAACCATGTTCCAGTCAAATCAGTCTTAATGATATTATTCCATTCTTCCTCAGATAAATCCAATGGAGTATGCACACGGCCTGCAATCCACATAATGGGAATAAGAAGTACGCAGGTTGTGGATCTCAGCATGTTCAGCCATGATTTTCAGGGCTAATTATTGTACAAAGAATGTAAATTCAATGCGAAAACAATAATGCATGTATGAAACTGGAGAAGTGATGCTTCAAGAATTTGCAGAAGCCTAAATTCATAGCTTGTCATTCAGAGTCCTAAACAAGCTCCTCACCTGGAATGTTTTCTAGACATCCGGAACTCACAAGCATAAAATACATTCTTATATTAGAACTCCAACTGATATAATGAAGTGCTCAATAACCCTATGAAGCTAGATGGATCAAAACTAGCAAAGCATAACTTGACTAGCTTAATTCTTAGCAGGGAATTGCAGAAAAGAAATCCAGGATCCCTATGTTATCTATTCCAGTCGAATGAAAATGAAAATGAAAACTACAACTTGGATTCTCCTTTAAATCACTGGTACTCTATCCAATGCAGGTACAGCAAGAAATCCAACTTGTAGTCACACGTGTCTCAATGAATTGCAACTGCTAACATAATCAAACTTAAATAGGTTGAACTTTATCTAAGCAGAGATTTTTGTACAGCAGAGATTTTTGTACAACATCAAGAGCGAAATACAAGGTCAAAGCGTACCATTTAAAAAATTATATACGAGCGGCAAAAGAACATGTTACAAAAGTTAGTGGGAGATCAACATCTTAGAAATGAACCTCCAAATTGCCGATCAATTACATGCGAAAGGGTACCTTTCAGAACAAAAGAACGATACCCTTTTATCGGACCATATTTCCACTTGGGCATATATGATAACTTTATCTAACAATTTTGTTTTCAGAAATTCCGTAAAAAAATTTTGGTGTAAGCTAGCGCCCGAGTTGATTGCATCTTCTACTTCAATTTAGGCCTTCAAAAATCCAATACTCAATGTGAATTTGTTCCAATTTAACTTCAATTGAGGTCCAAAAGTATCCACCAAAATCAATCTAATCTCCCCTACTGAAAAAGGCCACAACTTTTCCTTCTAATTCTCAATAGCTGAAACTTGCACAAATTTTTTTTTTTTTTTTAAATCTTTAACCATCATGCAAAATCAAAATCTCAGTTCAAACTTTGGGAATTAAAACTTTGAGAATTAACAGCTGCCAAGCCCAGCTAACCAATAAATTCAACTTTTTCTTGAATACCCCGGTACCAAAATTCTCCTTTCTAGATTCCAATTAAGTTTCACACATGATTTAAAAAGTGAACAAAAGTTCCATTAACAAATATGATCGAAGCGCTAACACCAAAATTTAAGCGTTTTTTAAGCAACTAATCCAAATTCAAATGAGCAAGAAAAAAGAAAAAGAGATAACATTGGAAAGTCAAATCTACATGAAAAAAGAAAAGAAAATTCAAATTGTCGGGAAAAATAAGGAAAAAAAAAGAAATACGAAATATCACCTCTAACACCGGCATTATTCACAAGAGCATCGATGCGTCCAAACGCGTCCCAAGCTTTCTGAACATCGGCTTCAATGGCCGGTCCATGGGCACTAACGTCAAGCTTGATCGGCACGGCCCTGAGTTCACTCGTTTTAGACTCGTCCGAATTAAAACTCATTCGGTTGATCTCATCACAGAGGGTTTCAAGCCGGTCGATTCTACGAGCGGCGGCAATGATTTTGCAACCGGCTTTAGCCAAGTCGAGACAGAATTCTTTCCCAAGCCCGGACGACGCGCCGGTTACCATCACCACTTTGCCCCTCAGCTCCTGCCATGGCTTCAGCCGGCTCGCGACTTGGCTCGTCATTTCCATATGGCCGAAAGAGGAGCCGGAGTGGGGGGATTAAATAGTCTTAAGTAGAGAATTCAGTGGGTTCGCACCAAGTTCTTGATAGCCACTGAACATTCCCAAAAAGGTAAGAATTCAGCGGGCTCGTCCCAAAAAGGTAAGACGCCGCCATTTGATCTTGAAGGTGGAACCTAAGGGTGGTTAGGTGTTGGCACCTGGATTTTGCTCCGCAGATTTTGCGCATGTGATGTGATGATAATCAACTTCGTTTCTTCTTCAGTGGAGAAAATGAGTTTGGCCTCTGATGGGGAGAAAGAAGAAGAGGTTGATTACGCACCACACGGCACGAAATTGGGCTGGGCGAACCGGGTAAGAAGAAAGAATTTATAAGTGGAATGTGAAATCAATCGGACTGTACAAATGTACTCGATGATTATGTGGAATGGTTCAGATTCAGGAATCGAAATCCATACTGTACTGCTAGGGTCATTCATGAAGACTGTACGGAAATGGAAGGAAAAATAAATAAAATAGAAGGTTCCATCGGGTACTATACTTAAATGGGATAATTTCAGAAACTTCCCCTGAAATTTCCGACAATTTCATTGAGCTCCTTTAAAGTTTGAAAAATTACACTTACCTCCTTTGATTTGATAGCTTTAGTAACAAAATCTTAAAATAATATTGACTAGATCAATTTTTAAAATGAATACCCAAAAATACCCTTATGTAATGAGTTTTAATTCATTTTTCTATACAATTATAAGATTATCTAGTATAATTATAAGGAAAAGATGCCAAATTTTTCATGTCCATATTTACTTTTTGATAAATAATAATAATAATAATTTTGTCATTATGATATGATACTTTTGATAGTATTTTATTATGAATTTAGATTTATAAGATAGAAAAGAAAATGTTGAAATAATTCATTTAAAGTTTATGAATATTTTGACTAGTGGGATTATCATAATTTAGTAGTGATTTTGGGCCATTTCTTTTTTGATTTATTGTTAATTTTAATACCAAAAAATAGAAAACAAAGATTAGCGAAAACATTGGATTACATATAAAATTAACTCGTAAAAAAAAATACTAGTTCGACATTTGGTTACAAACTTACAATAGAAACTAGAGGCAATAATAGTAATTCTACAATTTTATTGGCAAAAAATTAAAAGAAAAAGGAATAAGATTGAAAAAATAATTTTGAAACTCATTTTAATTATAAGCATATTATATATGGAAATTTCATTAAAATATTTGAGGGTAAAATTATCGTTTTAAATGATAAGGAAGGTATGTGTAATTTTTCAAATCTCAGGGGAACTCAGTGAAATTTTCAAAAATCTCAGGGGAGGTTTCTGAAATTATCCCTACTTAAATTTATTAGAAAACTATAAGTAAACAAAGAATTTTTTTTCTAACACCCTTGTTTGAAAAATCATTTTTTCCAAAAAATTTTTATGTTTTTCATAAACACATTTTTGAATCATCTTTTAGCTCACATACATCAAATTGTGACAGTATATTTTTGTACAAAAATTTCAGAAAATAGCAATTCAAACAGCAACACATAGATAATAGATTAAACATAGTTAACTATCTCGCCCGAATAGACCAAAGAGATTTGTTGAAGAGAGATTAGGGGGAAAATAAAGTAAAAAGGAACACAACGCTCGCACGCACATAGCAACACAATTTAAACAGGTTTGTACACAAGGCAAATATTTAGGTAGAGCTTATGTGCTGGCTCACTTACAGATTATGCGATTACTTAAGAAGGGATCCATGGCCTCACAAGTTCCATTTTACTCCATTTTGGGGTGAATTGATAATTATAAATTTTGTTACCCAATTTTTAAAATCAGTTATATTAAGCCTAAATTTTTGTTGGTACTATTTATCAGTCAATTACATCCAAGGGCAAACTTGTAGAAAATGGAACTTGTGAGGTCTCAAGCTCTGTTTTGAAACTCGGACCGGACCGGCCGGTCGAACCGGTCGAATCGGGAACCGGCCAGGTAATCGGTCCGAGTCTTATTAAAAAACCGAAAATTTAAAATCCGGTCAAAGCCGGTCAAAAACCGGGTTTGACCGGAAAAAAAACCGGTTTTTTCGGTTCAACAGTAATTTTTTTTAAAAAAAATTCAAACTTTATAATATTATGTTTTGACCCCCTAAATTATTAAAACTTATCGATATACCTCAAATATTTGATACTTTATAAATATTGTCCTAAAATTTGATGTTATTTTTCAATTAAACTCATAATTTTAATTCTAAACTTGTTAATATTTATTAAATAATATAAATTGCTACTTAATTGTTCTAATTTCTTTATATTTTCTTGTTAAATATATTTGAAACATCAAATATATATGAATATACCTTTATTAATATCAATATATTATTAGATATTATAAATATAATATTTTAATTTTTAAATAATTTTTATTTATGACGTCATCCGGTTCGACCCCTATTGACCCCCGGTCGAACCCATTGACCCCTGACCTTGGCCGAGTCGCTATCCGGTCCGGTTCTGAAAACATAGGTCTCAAGGGCCTTATAGAACCATGTCATTGTAGTGATTTACGGTGGTGTATTAAAAAAATGATACCAAGTGACGTATGATGCTGTAGAAAATAATATGTTTATAAAACATTTGCATGGTGTACGGTGAAACCATTTGCTTTAACGTAAAACATCCGGTAAAGAAGGTCTAATGTCTATTGAATTATATATGAGTAAAGCCTCTGATCGAATAAAGTGTGTGTGTGTGTGTAAAAAAGGGGCCTAAAAAGGAAAAACTAAACCCATCAAAAATTTGAAGGAAAAAAAGAAGGGGAGAATTCGATCGATAAATACTAAAATGGCTTCCCCGACTGCAGTTCGAAGAAATGGAGGGGGCGTTCTTCAACTGGCGTTTATTTTCAACCGCCTGAATCAGACTTTTGTTGTTTTATAAACCTAATCCCAGAATTAACCTCAAAAGCCGGCAACTCTTGAGGCAATCCCAGGCGTTTATTTTCAGCTGGCGTTTATCCACACAAAATTTGATGTGATTTTGGGTGTAGGCTTTCAAGACAATAAGGTCAATAGATTATCTTGGAATTTTTTGGAAGGAAAAATTTCTTTAAGGCCCAATGACAGTTGAGAAGAGGGAAAGCCCGCTCAAACAATAATAACTATCTTTGGTATGATCCAGTTATAGCTTTTGAGGCTATTTCAGATCATCTGAGGGTTGGCCAAATATTTTATGTTGTCCAACCTTGAGTGGGTATATGCATGAAATAAGTATATTAAAATCATGTGGTTCATTAGAGGTGCAATCGAATCGAATTTTTGACTTAATTGAGTCGAGCCTCTAGTTTTATGAATCTCGAACTTGACAAACTCGAAATATAAAGCTTGAGATTTGAGTCGAGTTCGAGTTTAAAAAAATAAAAATAAAAATTGTTTTTATTTTTAAAAATTAAATAAAATAATAATTTTTCTTAACAAATAATAAAATATTAGGAATATATATGTGTAATTTTACTATTAAAATAAAATATATATATATATATATAATCGAGCTAACTCACGAGCTAACGAGTTGAAATCTTTGAACAAAAGTTCGACTTAATTAGTTCGAATTCGATGTTGACCAACCTTGACTCAAGCTGCTCGTGAGTGGTTCGATTTGTTTTGCAACCCTATGGTCCATGTTACACCATGTATAAAAGGTTTTCTAGTGAATAAAATTTACCCATTCATAATTTGGGGGGAAAAATCACTTTATATCTAAAAAGTAAGTAAAGAACAAATCAAACAAAAGTAACAATTATGGATATAATCTAGCTATAGCACTTGAAGCTACTTAAGCTCTACTAAGAGGTCAGCGAAAGGATGGTTGGGTGATACGGGGAAGGGAGTGTAAGCGAGAGATTTGGACTCGAAATCACTTACACTTAAAAAAATGAAAAGCTTATCTAAGAGTTGGTCAAGAATTTATGGTACATGAAGGTATGTTGTAGAATTTTAGTTTTTCTCAACTTTAGTTTTGAATAATTTTCTTAGCAAATGTAGTTGGATCGGATCATTCCAAGGTTTCTAAGCTTAGTCCCAGAAAAAAAAAAGGAAAAAAAAAATTTTTTGGCACTAAAAGAGGACAAAATTCAAAACAAGTAAGTAGTATCCAAAGTATGGTTTCAAGTAAATATTATTTACTCATCAAGAGAAATCATGTCTTCGCAAACAATAATAACCAAGTAATAAGAAAAGACCATTAGATGACAACAAAAGGGTTATTAGGCATATAGAGAGCCATGAGCTACAAATTTTTATTGTTTATTATTCAACTTGCTGTGAACACTAATTTGATCACTTTGCAATTCTTGAACTTTAGGATCAAAGTATTTTTAAGAATCACATTATGATATACACAAAAAAAAATTGGCTTCACATCCTTCTTTCTAGAATTGCTTATGTCGTGTCAAGATAACTAATATTTCAACCAAATAGATTTTTGAATCTCTCTATACAGCAACACACACAACAGGTATGACACTTAATCTTTTCGTATTGGTGTTAGTGCCTAACCTGTGAATCCAAAAATGTTATCGGATTATCAATGTGTTAACCACTATTCTCACTACAATACTTTTAGTTTTGAGTCAATCTCAGATGTTAAACCTCCTTCTTTACAAACCTTAGTTTAGGGGAACTCACGGTAATACCAATTAACACAAAATTCTATATAAAAAAAATTTTTTAAAGATATTTTTGTGTATAGTCATTTGCTGTTATCAAAATTCCAAAATCCATCCAAGAGCATACTCTATTTCATAATTTCTAAAATTCAAGTAGGATTCTATATTTTGACTGTTTGCATTAAATTCTAGTAGGATTCTTCTTTGCATAATACTATTCTTTTTATCAGCGTATTATACTTTGCCTTACCCAAATGTTTAACCAGAATAATCATACAATGATAGGAAATCAAGTTTCGGATTAAAACCTGAAAAGAACTAAATTTGGCACAGTCTGCAGGTGTATCTTCTTTTTTTTTTTTTTTTTTTCCTTGATGTCTCTATAAACTTGAAGGATATCGTGAAATTGCAAGTTATTTCTTGATATAATGCGGATTTGATGTCCTGTTTGTGTTTCACATATAATAGGAGCAGTCCTCTTGATTTTGAAATTTCTGAGGAGCAGGTTATTCAAATCACTTAGAACTTCACCAATTAGTTTAGATTAGACAGCTAGATGTTATCTTAGATTAGACAGGTCATTCTTGTTGCTTGTAGGTTACAGATATAGCATTGTCGTCGAGTGTGAGTGTCGAAGGTCCATTGGAGTCCCTTTTAGTTAGCAATTGTCTGGATGTGGTGCTTTAGTGGGTCCCCCTTAGATTGCTTGTCTTAACGCTTTGTCGGAAAGAATCAAGAGTTTACGAGAGGTGGTAATAGCTAGGCCCGCGTCGTCGAGTGTTTCCCCTCCCCTTTCTCCCGCATCGGTCTGGTAAAGAGTGTGTGAGTGTTTAAGATCCATTGAAGTCCCTTCCAGTCAGCAATTGCGTGGATGTGGTGCTTTAGTGGGTCCCTCTTAGATTACTTGTCTTAACGCTTTGTCGGGAAAAAAAAAGGGTTATAGATATAGCATCATATTCTGCTCTAAGCTGTGTAGATCATGGTACAAAAAGCACACAAATTGTTTAAAATACATATGGATGTGCATATGTTACTGTATAATAAAATCGTGTATCTTTTTTTTTTTTGGGCAAATTCCACTTTTATCCCCTGTGATTTAGCGTTTTTTACATAACCCCCTATGATTTCAAAAGCGATACATAACCCCCTTATGATTTGGATTAAAGTGTCAAAGTGACGGGAATGATCATTCATAATAGCGTTACCTAAAATATCAAAATTACTCTTATGTAAAGTTGAAATTTTTGTATTAACCAAGGGGGGTTATGTGTATATTTTAAAAATTATAAGGGGGTTGTATGGTAAAATATTAAATCATAAGGGGGCTATATAATAAAAATATAAAAATCATACGAGGTAAATGTGTCATGTATTTATAAGGGTACAAAAAGCACACAAATTGTTTAAAATACATATGGATATGCTGTGTATCTTTTTTTTTTTTTTGGCATCCTAATACACTCTCACTCATTCATGAGCTTCCTAATACACTCTCAGTCATTCGCTCACTAGAGTCCATACATTAAAATTCAAAGTGAAGAGAAAATGGGAACTCCTGGTAAAGTATATCCAGCATCCACAATGAAATGGTTGCCTGATACATAGCTTGAGGAGTCATGAATTAAGAACCGAACAAGTGATGTCAAAGCTGGGTCTGTTGTGCCAAAGGCTCTTAAAGGCACTGTTCTCTCTGCCACATTATTAATCCAGCGCTTTTTTACAAGCTCTTCTGTGATTTGAGACCTGAAAAGTCCAGGGCTTATTGAGTTCACCCTGACTTTGTACTCTCCCAATTCCAAGGCCATTATCTGTAATTCCAAGGCCATCATGATTAGGAAAAAAAGAAAAAAAGTGACTTGATGCCCTATGTACCCAATAATAAGCATTGTACACATCTTTTTTTTTTAATTTTTATCAAACATTAAAAAAATAAAAATAAAGAACATATTAGAATATAGGGATAATTTCACAAACCTCCCCTGAGGTTTTGAACAATTACAGAGAACTCCCTTCAGGTTTTAAAAATTACTTATAGCTCCCCTACTTTTCATGTTTAGTAACAATGTAGGTCCAACAAAATAGATTTTCTTACAAAAATCATAAATTGTCCTTTTGTACAAAACTGAAAAAGAAAAATATAGTATACTCAATTATTTTCTTCTGCACTTTGCATAAATCAACAAGTTTAATTCCTAAAAACCATCCAAACATAAGTTCTAAAACTAAGTAGCCATGCAAAAAATCCTAAATTGCATATAAAATATCAATACTTGCCATGCAAAAAAAAAGAAAAAGAAAAAAACACACACACACACACACAATGCCCATTGATAACTAGTTGTACCTAAAATTAAATACCAATGCTCAAATACTTTTTTTAATACAATCTAATCTGATATAGAGCCGTCATTACAATTCCCTTATAGCCTTAAAAATATTAATATTTCAAAATTAGAGAATAAATTCTACTTCCTCCATAATAAAATCGTAATAAAAAATATCTAATACAATGAAACATATCCTTATGTAATTATTGACATGTTATAAAAGTTTTTCTTGGCAACAAACAAAATATGACAAATTTTATATCTTCAGTTCTTCTTCCTATTTCAATCATCAATTTCATTATTTATTTCTCTATCATTTCGAGTCTCTTCATTTTCTTCTAATTTGACACATAATCTGCTCTCTCCGCTGCTTTTGTAAATTTTAGTTTGCTAATATCCACAAAATTGAAAGATAATAAAAAGAGATGATGATACATGAAGCAAAACCTCTTCAATCTGCACGTCTTCTTAAGACTTAAGACAAAAGTTTTTGGCAACAAAATCAGTTTTTCATGCTTAACTCACTGATGCAATTAATTAAATCATATTAATCATACCCTTGTCATGGAGTCCATGCCGGCTTTTGAAGAACTATAGGCAACAGAACCCCGCATTTGTGCTCGGTTCAGCCCAGAAATTGATGAAACATTAACAATACAGCCACCTCTGCCTGCCTCACGCATATGCCTACCAACATACTTGGACACTAGCCAAGCTCCAGTCAGGTTTGTTCTCACTGTAGAATTCCATTCATTTTCAGTAAGATCCAGTGATGAACTTATTGAACCTGTTACAGACAAGGAAGCATCAAAATTAGAAAGATTACCAGTCTATATGAGGATTTCGAGAACCAGCTACTTAATTAAAACCTGTCTGTTTCTTATTCAACTTACATAGAAGAAGATGAGTTCTGTAATTCTGTGAAACTAGTTTTTTGCACGTTCAGTCAATCACCTGATTTTGTGCTCTCCCAACTCCAATGCCATTACCTGTTATTGGACACTATCAGCATTAAGGACACATTAATTGACTTTAATCATGTGAAAGAAGAACCATTGATAAATATGGTGTAAATGAGGTGGTCGGAATAGCAATTAAGGTAGAGTATTTATGTCTTTTTACATGATTAAAAATGGAAAGAAAAAAAAAGTTCTAGAGGAAAGATTTCGAATATTGACACAGTGAAATTGATAGAATAATACCTGTAACCTGTAATCAAATATAGTATTAGTGTTGCTGAAATTCCACAACCATATTGGGCTGGAAGCGGCCGCTGACTAAAGCAAAAGAATTCTAGAATCTATCTTTTTGAAAAAGTGCAAAGTACCACTAAAATTTTAGAATCGTTGAGTTTTGCTCATTAAACTATTAAAAATTTAGATTTTGGACCATTCTGTTAGATTTGATCGTTAATTATGTCAGATCTAAGTGTTCACACGATCACGAGACAAATGAAAGAGGTATAGTTAACAATTAATCTGAGAGAAAATGACCCAAAATCTAAACTTTAGTGGACAAAACCAAACTTTTAATTGTTCAATGGTCAAAACTCGATAATTTCAAAAGTTTAGTGATCATCCAGATAATTTGAGGGGTAAAATTGTCAAACATATTTCACATGATCTGACCCATATTCCCTCACATTTCACAAAAATGAATTTTTTTATCCTTCACATTTTACAAAATAAATTTTTTCGTCCCTCACATTTTGCAAAATGAAAATTTTCGTCTTTCATTAATCATGTGTATGAATAGTCTTTGCTTATTTTTGAAAACTTATGTATATGTCTATTTGATTTCAACTGAAGTACAAATAGCATTGAAGTACGAATAGCATGTAATATATCTCTATTTAATTTTATTTGAATAAACTAATTGTAATTGTAAGTGAAATCAAATACAAATATATTACATGCTATTCGTATTGTTTAGATAAAATCAAATAGATATATGTATGGGTTTAAAAAAGAAAACTATTCGTACACATGATCAGTAAGAAATGAAAAAAATTCATTTTGTAAAATGTGAAGGATGAAAAAATTCATTTTATAAAATATGAGGAACGAAAAAATTGGATTATGTGAAATTTAATTTAACAATTGTACTCCTAAAAAATGGTCACGTCCAAGGCACGTAGTGGATTTCAGCAAAAAACTAGTTGAAAATATAGGTAGGGACCAAAATTGACCAATATGAATTTCTAAGGAACGCAAACTTACATTTTTAAAAATGAATGATGAAAAAAAAATTATTCTGCAAAATGTGAGGGATGTTTTAAACGATTTTTCCAAAAAACAATGTGTTAGAAGAATATTTTTAAAAATTTTTCATAAAATACGCACAATCCAAATGGGACGTAACATGTAACAGATATGCACAATAAGACAATAACATATGAGAAAAATAATAAAATTAATCAGACTCGTATAAACTATCAACGGGTATGGTAAACTACTTAATTGGGGCCTCGCGCGCTACGCGAGGTTACCCAGTTATGTTTTCATTAGTTATATCTAATAAAAGTCGGAATAAACAAAAGGCTAAATATAGAATTTGGAAATGGATGAGTATTTTTATTACGTGTTTCACATGGATGATAGATGGAGCACAAAATCTTCAGTTCGCAGGTTACTATCACCACCCCCGTCTTAAATTTCTTGATAGTTGCAGGTGTAGCAAAGTCAATGAATCAGTGGAAAGTTGTACCCAGTTCCTTGCCAAGAAACTGTTGTACCAGGAATCTACATTCCCCGATAGAAACTAGAAAGATCAACCATAAAGGAAGCATAAATACAAATAATTCGACAAGATTAAAAAAAAAATGAAACAGGAAAACACAAGAAGTTAAGTTTTCCCAAAGCTATATAACAATTAAAAGCCACAAATGATAGAAAACTCAGGTATGTTAACCACCGAAGCCCGGGTAGAAACATGCCCCAAAAACTGAAGGGTTCCTCTGCAAGGTTCGTCCAGGAATGGTGAGTTAGGGCCTAAGATTAGGTCAAAAAATGTAGTCGATGGGTAATAGGTGAATATTTCTGTACTATCATTTGCCAGTCCCAAGAGACGGAGGAGGATAGGTTAGCAGAAAGATGGTTATCGGTTCAAGAATGTAAGTTGCTTTGCTTTTTCAGGGTAAGAAGGGATAGAGAAAATAAATGTTATGCTATCTTTTACTTTGATCAAAGTGCTAGATATGAATGGTAACCTATTGTAGAATTCAATGTCTCAATTGGACTAAATGGGGTAGAATTCAAAATTCTGTAGCATCTCTATTGGAGAGCAATATCATTCTCTTGATTATTTGAAGCAGAATTAACTCTCAATTTGTCATACACCTTGGCTACAATAAACAATTAGGAGTATGATCTTCTGTACATGATATTGACAATCAGTTGTAAGAACAAAATCCAAAAACAAAATCAACAATCACCGTAGAACCTCAACAACTTGTGATATTTCATCAAACGATAAAGTCAAATTCAACTCAAAAAAATGTCAATGCCCATTCCTTGGCCATTGTACGCAATTGGTCATATTGACAAGACATCGGAGTTGGTCATCAAGCTCCTCCAGTTCTTGGTTCCTGTAATTACATTGGGTGTGGCTCATGGCATCCGTTTCTATACCAAGTCATCAGCTTGAAAGCTAAAGTTGACTTAGAACATCATCTGCAATAAAATTCTGATGGTGAGAGGATTCCACAACCTCCTTCATCCGTGATCTAAGCCTATTCATCTCTGTAATCTAAAGCATTGAATGCATTGGTTTTGGTTTTAGGGTCTGTTTGGTTGGAAGTAAAATGTTTTCCTTGGGAAAATATTTTTCGTGGAAGTAATTTTCCATGAAAATCATTTCCCTTTCATCATTTTCAGGTGTTTGGTTAGTTTATTGAAAATATTTTCTTACTTCATTTTTCTGGTGTTTGTTTAACTTTTGAAATATTTTCACTTTTATCTCTATCTTTACTTTCTACACATTATAACTACATACTTCTTCCCATGCAAAATAAGAAATTTTATCTCATTGTTTAATTTTAAAATATCTTAGAGAAATGTATATATGAATAAAAATATCTCTTTAAACAATAAACAAATTGCTGGCCATTTAGTGTCAAATATCAATCATATGCAATGCTTATTGTGACATATATTTTGCACTCTCAGTGCTGAAAGTTTCTCTAGAAAAGAATGTCCCTATTATACATAATTAATTACTAGCATAGGATGAGCATGATGAGATTTTTTCTTTTATTTTGAATATACTAGGGGGGGGTTGGGTTGGGTTGGATTGGGTGGTACGGGGGAGGGAGTGTAAGGAAGAGGTTTTGGGTTCGAATCCTCCTGTTTACACTAAAAAAAAAAAGAACATACTACAAGATGTTTTCAGTAAGTTTGGAACATACTACAGGTGGGATGCATGTATTTCGGAAAACAACTTCAGTAAGTTTGAAGGGAAGTGTTTTCCATAAGATGAGTGAAAATATTTTACATAGGAAAATATTTGCAGTAATTTTTGTGCAACCAAACACGGGAAATTAGGAAAATATTTTCCTGGAAAACATTTTCACCGAAACAATGGACCCTTAGTTTCTTTGATTTGTGTTGCATCCGAGTTGACAGGGCTTGCTAATCTCAAAAAAAAAAAAAAAAAAAAGGCCCCCGAGATTTGTTCTTACTAGAAACATACGCATGCTTATTAAATACTAGAACATTGGCCCTAGACGTTAAGTAAGCAGGGTTTGGTTGTTGTTTGGTCCGTGTATGCTTAGTTGATGCATTGTTTTGGGCCTGCTTAAGTTGGGCTCGGTGCACCATTGTCATTTGTTGTAGGCTTTTTTTTTTTGGGTCTAAGAGTGCGTTCATAAAATTGAAGTCTAAAAACTAAAATTTAAAATCTGAAATTTGAATCCGTCAAATTATTGGGTTGTGTATATCGCATTAAATAATAAGTGAATGATTTATCACTTATTTTTTGGATCAAGTTTTGCGTACAAAATTCAATGTTACTTAATTAATTCAGTTGTTCTATTTTTTTTGTTATCAAATGCGTTTGAATATGTTAAAATTTAAATCCATTATATTTAAGTGCTGAATTAGGTTATCAAACAAGGCCTAAGTTCTTATTTTATAGGGTTAATTATAATTGTCCTCGGAACTTGACTCTTTATAACCCTTCCCTCCTCCAACAACTTTAAATATATGCATTTACTCCCTTCATTGACTAGTCAAATATTAATGTTGAATTCTCTATTCAAAATTTTAACAAAATGATATCAATGCCCCTATATAATGGTTCTAGAATAATACTATACTTTTAATCGGAATATGAAATATCTTGTTAGAAAAAACACAAAGTCACGTGATTTAAAACTTAAAAAATAAGAGATAATATAATACCAAAGAATTCAAAATTATATTGTGGAGAAAAAATTTTAAAAATTCCTAAAACTTCTGCACAAGTTTGTCATTACTTATATTTCTTTCTTTAAATTGTAAACGGATTGATTTTGATAATTTTCGTTTACCTTGCAATTTTCACAAGATTTTTACGAATCAATAAGATGCTATTTGGCATTTTTATATCTCACTCTTACCTTGTTTTGTATGTTGTTTGAATTCTACATTTTTTAAAAACAATTGAGGATTCTCTAAATACATTTTTCATTACATTTTTTATTTTTTAATCATGTATATAAAACACATTAAAAAGTGTAACAATAAAAAAATATATAAGCAAATATTTTTAATTCCAAACGCACTAACTAATTTTGTTTCGTTTAAAATA